TGCTATTGCTGCTGTTGTTGTTGTTGCTGCTGCTGCTGTTGCTGTTGCTGCCGTTTTTGATGCTGCTGTTGCTTTTCAGTGTTGCTACTTCTACTAATGCTGTTGCTGCTGTTGCTGCTGCTTTGTTTATAAGTGCTATATTATTCTACATTCTCTTTCGTATATATCTTGCAGGTCTGGAGGTGTGTTCACCACCTTATCTCTGTGTATCGGTGCTGGTCTACTAATATGGAGAGTTCTTAAGTGAACTAACGAACACTCCTTACTATACATTCCACTCTAGTAAGAAAATTCCAACAATGTATCTTTACTTATCCTCCATTGTAATGAGAAATATATTAATTCAATCGTTAAATCTTTATTTATTTATTATTATTATTATAAAGAGTTGGATTTTTAACAATTTACATAATAAGTTAGAATAATATCACTTTAATTTTACATGATTTTAAGTAAAACAAATCCAAAAATAATATTTTTTAGTATTTGTTTTTTGTTTGTTATTGCTTGTTATTTCCTATTCCATTCTTTTAAGGTGTCCTCTAAATTTCAATTTCATAATAACGTTGCAAAAATCTGTGTAAATGAAAAGATTATAACATCTTGTGATGATATTTTTTGCTAAACTTTTGGCCATGGATTTGCAGAAATACGAATAAATGATTTCCTAAATAAACCCACTTTATTCAAGCAACACAAAGCTATATTTTACACGTCTTTCTTAATCCTCAGACAAAAGGTGTGTTATTCCGTTAACTCCTAAGATAATCACTATTTGTAAAGCGATTCCTGTCTTATCCAATCAAATAACACCAGTCTATTGACCTTCTCAATAAGACATCAGTATATTATTTATTCTCTGGCTTAAACGCAAGGTGCATTTTCGTTGGAAGTTATTTGCATAAACGCACGGTCGACATCCGATAGGTCATGCCGTCTCTTGATCACAGCAAAAAATGGAGTCGACCAAATCAGCTGATGAGGTCGAAAAAAAGCTTAAATTACAACTATTAGCTGAAGAATCTGAAGACTGTGTCTGCTCTAAAGCTTCGGAAAAGAGTTTCTTAGGATGGCGTCGGTATGAAGAGCAAAAAGAACACAAAAAGCGATGCGAAACCAGTCGAGCTGGTAACCAAGCGTTGTTAAGGCGAGAGAAAACACTTCTCGCTGCTACGGGGGACTTTTTATTTCGCCACTATGAGTCGTTTGACCGTTACATGGCCCAGTATCGAGAGAACCACTCGACATCTTGTATGGAAAGAGAACTGAACTTAATACCTATACTTGGCGTTGATGTTCCTGACCCCTATTTTCCCAAGATCGCGAATTCAAGGTTTGTTGATACATATATTTTTACCTTCGTATTTCATATTTTTATCAAACTTCACTATGATAGTCTTTTAGGTTTCTAATCTATGGTGTGTCTTGCCTCCTTTGTAACAACACTTCTTCATCGTTTTGAAGAAAATTTTGTCCTATAATATAAAATCTTTACATTTGTGGGTCGAAAGCAATTGATTCAATCAAATATGATTATTATGAGAACTTAAAAGATTGAAATCATATTTCTATATTATGACAAGTATTTTAAGACCTACTCGCATAACCTGTTCATCAAACTGCTATTTTTTGTTAGAGAATACTTAAGTATTTTATCGCCATCGGGAAATAATTTACAGGTCAGTCTTGAGATATCAAAACATGAGATAGAAGTGCTTGTATATTTATATCAAGTTTTACAAAACGCGCGCAGTTTGAACCAAGGAGGTAGGTCCTTGAACAATAAAAATATTCCCTAAACTAATTTTAAAATCTTTCCTAATTTTGTATTTGAACAAATCAAGGRAAATTCCACTGTTTTGTGTCACTCTTTATTTTTTCTAATCGACTAAAGATCGCTTTCCAGTCAATCTAAGTCTCCACATTTATCATTAGTTGTCACTGAGTGATGTTCAATTACTATTTTAAATTTTAGCTTTTTATTTCTAGCAAATTATATTTAAAAGGACACTATTAAAAAAACATCTGTTTTCTCGGGCTAATAGTGCCTATTTACTCAAACGTTGGCCAAAAAAAACAAAAAAACAAAAAAAAAACTGAATATGACAAATATTTTTTTCATCATTTACAAAAGTTCAAAAAATCAAATACCACAAAATAATTTCTCAACAAAGCTCATCACTGCCTCACTCAGGCGATCATTTTCAGCAAAGTAATTTACTTGCTAGGCTAAAAGCCTAAATGAAAAGATTTGATATTGATAACATTTATTTTTGTCGGTGTTTTTGCAAATAGATGTATGTTCTAATGAAGCAGGTATAGCTATCAAGCTGATAAATATTCGACATCTCAGATATTTGATATATAGATGTTCAATTAAAGTTTTTCTATGCGTTTGTACAGAGTTGATATTAACTCTGGTTTGTATAAACACTTCCTAACCGTCTGGCAATCTAAAAACCACTGTCATTAATCGTTCGTTTGGCGAGCATTGAGGCTTTTTTTGTAGTTATTACTTTGTCGCAAACGAGGAGGCAAGGAAGACAGCGTAGCAGAACTACCTTTTTCCCATTTCACCTACATGCACTCAATCGTTAACAACTTGGTTCCGCCCCCTTCTGACACAAAAGCAGAAATATTAATTACTGCATACCTCTAGATTTCATATATTTTTGAATCTGGTCCAATCCAGGTCCCGGTTGTACGAAGGGTGAATAGCGCTACCCGACGGATAAATCTTATCCAGTGAATAAATTTATTGGATAACAGCATCTACTTATCCACTTGATAAGGATTTATCCGCCGGATAGCGCTATTCACCCCGTTCGTACAACCGAGTCTTGAGAAGAAATGATCATCAGTCTCCGATCCATCATAACCCTGTTATTTCGCTATTGTTTGAATCAGTTGGCGAAAGCGAAGCGAGAAAACGCAACTTCAAATGGGAATTTAACAATTGTTCCACAGAGTGGCTCTTCTTCCACTTAATCTTACATGATTGGAATTTGGGAGTTGATTTTTGCGGAGGGAGGAAAACCAGAGAAATATTCGTAGAAAAACCCTCGAAGTACAGGAGAGAACCAACAAACAACTCTATACTCACATGCGAAAAAAATTACCTAAACGTTCGAGGAAAAGGTTTTCATCTAGCTAGCTCGCTTTCCAAAACAAGAAAATAGGTTTTTAAAAAATGTCGTGTTTCACTAAAGAGGACAAACTTATTTATGGCCGCGTTTTACCGCCCTTCGAGCTACGTGCAGATATGCATGTACCATTATGCAAGCCTGGTATTTTTCACGATATGTATTGCTGTGTAAAACAAAGGATAGACTTAATTGAGGACCGTTGTCTGACGACTGCGTTCAATTATTTGATAACGTTTTCTTATGCACCTGCTAATGTGTTTGTGTTTGGTTACATATCGTAATGACGAAAATTAGTTGATACAATTTTAATGGATGGTTCAGTAAACAAATCTTATTGAGGATAAGAAAATATTGAGAATGAAGGGTAAATAATCAATAATAATCGCTCTCTTCTCCCTCTCTAGCCTCTATCCCTTCCTCCCGTTCGTTCTCCCTTTTCTTGTTCTTTATTTCTAGCTCTTCGCAGTTTATCATATTAACATGTTAAATCGCGCAATACAAATAATAAACCGATTATTATTATTATTATTACTATTATTATTATTATTATTATTTCTTCCATTGTTCTTAGAAGTTCTTTCTTCTATATGTACAAACAGATGCTTCAACATCGCCCAACCTCTAAATCTATTATTGCTTAATTTTTCTATTTCCCACTTCTTCATAGCAGGATTTTCGGTTCATATATCTAATTGTTGAAGGAAGAGGAAAAATCCTGGGAATAAGTTGTGGCGAGATTTTAGCGATCTTTTTCGTGATTGGACCCGGAAATACGTCACAACTTAAAAGCCCTATTCCTAAACCAATAAGAAATAGTACCATGCAAACGTTCGCCTTCAAAAGCCATTATTACTTGATCAATATTTTATAATGTTGTGTTTTCTTTTCCTCAGTGCTTTGATGGAACGAATTAAAATAATTGAGGCGCTATCAGATTTTTACAAACTGCCTAAAGATGCAAAGTAAGTAAAAGAATTGTAATAATATACACCTACTTGCAAGAACGTTGTCATACGATATTTTTAGAGCATTAGTAATTTAGTGAGGAAGGAATACATTAAAAGACAAAAGAAAAAGTTCAGCTTCAGTGATCTTCTTTTGTTTTTTTTTATATAATTCCTTTCCCACTAAATCACTGTTCTATTTTCGTATGACAACGTTCTCGCAAGTAGGTGTATGTTACTGTTTTACAGAAACAATATTAGGGTTTTATCTTAAATACTTTTGAAAGATGCTGCTTTTATTCATGAAAGTCTTATGTATTTTTGATAATAATAATTTGATAATAATAATAATAAATATTTTTTAAACACGAGCGCAATCGAACGCAGATCGTAACTTTGTTGAAACTGACCCTTTAAATAACAGTTGCAATGGCGTAGCTAGTATTTTGACTGTGAGGGGGAGGGGGGGGGGGAGGGGGAAGGGGTTGCACAAAACCCGTTTCAGAACATCGATAAGCTGCGTGAACTTATCATTTTACAATGTAAGTGTTAAGGTTTCTATAGCGCTTTTTTCAAATGGCAATTGTCGTACTCAACTTAAAAATTGAGACTCGTTTATCGATAGGCTAATCTGTTTGCTATCAAGCGCGCAAAGAAAATTCCAACAGGATAAGGYTCAGGGTTGCCCCCCAACCTGGCTACGCCCCTTTGATATTTTTTCTGTAACCAAACCGTGCATTATTGTTTTTCTTCTTCTTTTTTTTTTTTTTTTAAAGCAGTGATGTAAAGAACATTTGCTTGACTGGGAAGAAAGCAGATCCCGCAGAAAGAAGATACTTACCTCAGACACCAAAAAAATCAAATAACAGCACGCTACCCGCGTTAATCATAAATTCCGCCAACGACGTGAACGACGTGCCGTGTTTGCCTACAGTACGAGAGGGTGAAGACGAAGAAGATTGTAGTGGACGTCAACAGGGGCCATCTATGGATGAACGTTGCCCAGAAATAACTAAAAATGACTTTAATAACTGCAATCGCTTTGAAAACAATGAGAAAAATTTTCGTAAAACGTGTACAAATCTAGAAAGAGAGAGTAAACCAAAACTGAAAGAGTCGTTCGTTCTTCCTGCAGCAAAACTCGTTTGTAATGAAAGTACGGATAAAGAACGGGAATATTTACGAACTACTTTGCCTCGGATACCTTTGTGGATAGAATACGAACCGAATAAAGAAAGACAGCGTAAAGAAATGGTGTTAGAAACTTTACGAATCGGGAAAAAATGTAAAGCGTCGAAAAAAGGTAGTTCGAGTAATGAAACGCAGGGAGAATGCCTCAACTTACGTAGTAACTTGGATACGAGAGAAGGAATTCCACCGCCTTCAAGGGGAAACCTTCGTCTGGGAACAACCGTTAGACCTGCCACTAACCAAAAAGATGTAAAAAGAAAAACAAACGTTCCTCAAACTCCACAGGGTAGATTTGACTTGCATAGCAACAGTTATCTATCGGGGTCGTCTCATCAGTCAAGGAAGTCTAAACTTCCAGTAGAAACTACTTTTATTAAAATACTAGGTAACCAAAAGGTGGCGCCCCCGAAACCATCGAATGTGAATACAGAGAGAAAAAGAGACACTCCGAGAACAAAGATTCGGCGTCAGTCATCTAGCAAGGAATATCAAGGAATACCCTTGCGATACCTTCGTAAATTTGGTCGACACAATTTCAATCACGTGTTAGAGGCACGTTCATACAAACCTGAGACCAGAAAACTTGGATCTACGATTATTCCTAATTAAATATTGATATGACAAAGCTATTGGATCACGTGACCATTTCCCGCCATATTTCCCGCCTTTACGGTAACACATGTTCTGTTAAACAGGTTATCTGCAAAATGGCGGGAAACGATCACGTGATATGCTAATATGTTTATATCTCATTTATGGGCGCTAAGAAATTTTCTGTAATAAAATTATGAAATATTGTGTAGTTGAATTCCTGCTTGCGTCGCGTTTGCGCCGACAAAAAGGCATGGAATCTGATACATAACTTGTTACTATTTCAAAATATACATATAAATGAATAAATATTTAAAATTATTTTAAAAATAGCCAAAGAGACTTCTTGTAAAATTGATAAATAACCGATACCCCGGCGGCCATCTTGGCATGGGGGGTAAAATAGAAAACAAAGCTGACGTAAAAAAATATATAGTTGCGCGTGTTTGTCTTTCTTTCGTGAGTAAAGAAGATTATGTGCCGTCTCAATTCATCTTATAGTATATTCTCTTGTGGTGAGCTGTTGATTTGCCCCCTGGACGCCCTATAATGCCTTGCAATCCAAGATGGCCTCCGTATCGCCGAAGTAGTTCATTTTACATTCACTTAGCGTAAAAATTTAGCGCTTTTCCCCAGTTGGAACGCGCGTCAAATTTCCCGTATCCCCGTGTATTCACGCTGTGAAATGCGCTTTTTAAGGAATTAAAAATCTCAGATCTCGCCGCGTTAATTAACTGAGCGCAGCCGAAGTTTGGAGAGATCTTAGGAAGGAGACCTGGGTCTAGTTGTTGGTGGGTGTGGAACGCCTGACACTATTCGTATTATATGCAGATGAAGAAAGCAGTTATGTTTACTCTTCAGTTAGACTGATATTTTCAGCTGATTTACTTCGTTTTTGGCGTAAGCTTGACGAAAAATGCGTTAAGAGAAGATGTCTATATTGCTTTCTATCATTCCTGAAGTACAAAAAAGGTTAAGGACACTGAACAAAGAAAAATGAGGAAGACAAACTCTACTGTGCTCGCTGGCATGACAACGTAATACAAAGTCGTACGTTTTGTAAAATGCATGTCCTGACAAGGAACATACACATAAAGTTTGGCCGTTGTTTATCGATATAAGTTAAACGAAGGAAAAGAACACCATATATTTATTTTTTCATCGCTAATATTCGTGGTTTGTTTTGACAGTTGGCGGAGCCGACTGTTCATTTAAACACTTGAGGCAGACAAATACAACAAGGGTTTGAGTATTTATACATTTACTTTATATAAAAAAACTGACAAAGGATAAGCTTGATGTCACGACTACGGACTGATTTAAGGGCTTCGTTGCCTCCGAGAAGAGGTTCTTCGACTAAGTTTCCTCCTGTTCGGGTAGGAAGTCGTTCTCCTTGTTCAAGTCCTCAAAACTGGGCTACTGATATGGTGGTAGGCTTACAGTTAAGAACTGCGTCCCCTCCAAAAGAAACTAGAGCAAGAAGTACAGTAGTAAGTCCAAAGGAAAGGATAAAAGACATTATCAATAGCAGCATATCTCCTAAAAAGACTGCTCCAAGCAATGGTATATCACAGCAACAACTGGAAAAATTGAACCAACAAATTCTTTCTTTCCAAGCTCAAGAACAACAGTACTTAGATAAGATTGCTAAGCTGGAAAAAGAGATTGAGGTTGGTATTTGTTTACATTTTCTATAAAACAGTTGTACTATGCTTCTCTTGGCTCGACAGAAGATTCGTCACAAAGTTTTGTCGCTTAAATGTGCATGTTGTCATAAAAGTATGGCTAGCAATATTGTATTAATTCAACTGAAGAAGACAGTGTATGTTGAAGGGGCGGACTGCAGCAGATGAACCTTGAGAATCAAAACCTACCCTCTCAAGCCCAGACACCTCACCCCAGACCTCACCCCTTCCAATCACCTCTCAAGCTAATAATCCTTCTTTGGGATGTTGTTTTTTAAGATCTTATTTGTAATAGTGCAATGTTTTCCCAATACATACCATTTTTTTGTTTGTTTTTAAAATGGGTACTCGTACACCAAATCCAAATATGGCACTAAAGTTAAATCTAACTATTGCTCTGGACTGAGTAGTCTCCCATGCATGTGAAAATGCATGAACACAAGGCTAGTCAGTCCAGAACAAAACTCGTACACATTGGTAACCATATTTTGATTCCATGTAAGATAAAGACATGCAGGGCCATAACTAGGGAGGGAGCACAGGGTGCATGTGCACCCCCTCATAAAAGCTTAAGGTCTGCTCATCCATCTCCTTTTTTTTTTTTGGTTCTGCTTTCTTAAAAATAATGATCAATGGTCCAATTTTATTCAATGTGCACCCTCCCTGTAAAAGTCCTGGTTACGGCCTTGACATGGATTTGTATACAACACAAAGAATCTCTATTCTCTAGGGAATGACACAGGGTCTATGATGAGGAGACATTGTTATGTTGCACAACAAATTAGGTCTATTATATATATTTTGGTTTGCATGTTTAGCCAATTGACTAAAACATAATTTCATGTTGCTATAGGGTTTCATTTTAGTTTTACTAGTTTATCGTAAAAATTAATAATAATCGTTGACAATCTTTATTCTTATTGTGAATTATATATTTTTCCCATTAGAAACTGAAGTCAAAAAATACATTGCAGCAGAAAGCAGCAGAACAGTTAAAAGCTGAGCTTAAAGAAAAAAATAAAACATTAACTGAATTAGAGGAACAACTCCAAAAACAGGTTTGATTATTCAAGTGTACATGTATTCTTGTATGTAGGATGCATTTGAGTCAATATTTCATATCCACTGCATTTATGATTATTTTGTTTTAAGCTTTTGGCCATATTGGCCATCTTCAGGGCTACATAAAAGCCATGAACCAATTATTTATCCGTTCATTCTATTCATTTAGAGTGGTCGATCCTGGATTTTAAAAAGGGGGATTCCAAAAATGATTGTCATCCAGAAAAAGCTGGTGTAATCAGCTTCACAAAGGGGGTTCAAATTTCATTCTACTGAGTGTACAGAAGATGATCGGAACCCAAGGAACCCCCGGGGGGGTACTCCGCCAGGATTTGGGTAGGGGTGTTCCGCTGGGATTCTGAAAGGGTACCTTGTTTATGACAAAAAAAACACAAATTTGTAGACCCTGTTTATGACAAAAGATATAATTATTTACACTGAGTTCCTGTTTCAATTATCATGTCAGCTTGCGTATCATTTTTTGAAGACCATAGTAACCAGTTTTGGTCAATATGAAAATAGAAACCCTGAATATGACAGGAAACTCAGAAAGAACTTGGAACTTGAGTGAAATTGCATGTTCTGTTTATGACAAGAAGCTAGAAAAACCATACCCTGTTCAGCAGATCATCCCCGTATAGTCCATATATGGGAGCACCCCCCCCCCCCCAGGGGAGGGAACCATCCCTGGATCCACTACTAATTTAGATATTTGATATGGTTTCAGGAAGCAATCCATCAAAGTCATATTGAAGACATGAATAGTAAGCTTTATGACAAGGATCAGAAAATTAAAGATCTAGAGAAACAGTTGGCTGACAAAACAAATGAAGTAGAGCAAATGAAAGAGAAATTTGCCAAAGAAAAAGATAGTATGAAGAAAGAGGTGAATTAATTTTGATACTATTTTTTGATAACTTTAGTCATGTATAATAATTACTTTTTGATTTGTATTACTACATAAGTCATTGTTTATTATATAATAGATTTTCACGAACTCATGCATGCTCAGATTTTTCATTTTTGTCATCTGCTTCTTTATGATTTCTAAAGTCAGTATTTGCAATTAATATTCTAGGATTTTCTATTGTGATTTTTAAATTCTTAATAACGATTAATGGTTTTATAGTTCGATGAGAAAGTTGAAGAAATGAAAAATAGTTTTCAAAATGAGCTGAAAATCAAAGACGATAAACTGAAAACCTTAAAGCTACAAATGGCAGATGCTCTGAAAGATAACTCAAGGTATGATATAGCCCGTCTGTATAGAGTGCTTTTAGTCTCACTGTTGAATAGTTAGATAAATGTATCTAACTTAGATGACTATTTAGTTGACGTCACCTAAAATAGTAAAAGCGCGCCAATAACGGTCATGCTAATCCGGGGGGTTGTTTTACTAGAGAATGAGTGAATAGACATTCATTTGTACAGTATCATCGTTTCTCCCCCTGATCTCAGTAGCTGTTTAATCATAGTTTCAAATTTAGGTGACATCAGTTAAAATAGTAAATAACTTATCTAATCAACAGTGAGACTAAAAGCACTCTAACATATTGTTTTAGAAAATAAACTGATAGAAAATTAATTTTATTGAATAGTTATTGGATGAAAAGTGTTTAACTGGTGGGATAGTGTCTGATAGGATTCTAACTCTATTCACCAGTATTTATCTTTACGTGGTCTGAATTGGAAAAACATTACTTCCATCAATGAACAAGGACAACACATTTGTTTTGTATGAGCACTACTGTTATGAGAGAGAAAATTAATGTTTTTACAGACTATCTAGACATCAGTTTTCTAATTACTATTTCTTATCGTATGAAAACAAGATAAAGAACGATCAATTAGCTATTAGAAATATCGATATAAGACTTCAGTAAGGCTGCCATCACGCACAAGTTTAGATAATGGTATGCATTGAATTTACAAGTAAACCTCTTAGCTCCTCCCATTTGCATGTACACCTCTGGTTACGCCCTACACATTCTTTACCCCTTTGCTTAGTTATTTTAGCACTATTCTTTTAAATCTTGTGATAGAAATATTCCTCTTAGACCTTTTATAACATTTGCAATATATTCATATATTAACTTTAGTTTAAGCTATGTTTAGTTCTAAGATTTTTACTCGTATTACTCTTTAATAAGATATCACGCTTAGGAATTTACTATTTCTATTAGCCAATCAGGACTCAGCGATAATATCACATTGATTGTAGAATGACACCTGTCATGAAGTTATTATATAGAGAGCTTATGTAATTAGAAGAGAGTCAGAGAAAGTGGAATAAAGATCCCGGAACTCGTACCGAGACCGGTCGCCCCATAACACTACACCAAGAGAAAATGAACTAAAAGGAGGAATCCCCGTGCCTCATCATGAGCATCCTTTCGTGCTATTTTTAGAATCATTGATTCTATGTTTAGAATCATTCATTTGATCGTTCGTTTTCAGTTTCCGCACGCGCATACAGTGTGCGCTGTACGCTTTTTGCTCATTTTTTCATGTGTTTAAAAAACGATGGCAAATGATTCTAAAGATATCACTGAGTTGAGTGAGCTGAGTGTTCTACGTTGTAAATATAGAATGTAGTTTTAGTGCGTGTGGAGGGAACCTCTGGGAAGAGCCCCGTACGGGAGTAATGGTTGTAAAATATAAGTTTTTTTAAAATGATGGTTACAAGTATAAATTCCTGCTCTTCGTTCATTTTCTCTTGACTACACTCATGGAACGAAGTTTCTTATTTACTTATTTTCACTGTTATAGAGAGAGGCAACACCAACTTGAGGAATTAACACGCGAACTTAAAAAGGTTTCTGAAGAAGCAGATATCTTGAAGTACAAGATTCATTCATCTAAGCCACAACAGGTAAGTGGAAAATAATTCAAATAATGGACATTAAGAAATTTGGACAATTTCGCTAATAAGTTGACCGAATTTCACAGGGATTTTAATTATTTATTTCCTCAAATTTAAGCTTGAAAGGTTTGTCTCTGACTTAAAATTTTTGATATATCTTCTTCAAATTTTACCATTTTTTAATTTATTAATGCAGTATATGGTGTGGAACGAAAAAACAAAAAGATTATTAAATATAGAAATGTCATCTTCGCGGCGCGGGTGAAAAATGTCACCCGCGAAGCTCTCCAGTCTCCTTAACGATAATTTGAAATCTTGCAGGGAGGATGCAAAAACTGTCTGACTTTTGAAAAGGAGCTTCAGAATAAGATCATTGAAATACGAAACAAGGACCTTGGTTTGATAGAATTACAACAGTTATGCGGGAAAATGGAAAAACAGCTAATGCAGCAGGTAAGAATTAGAACGATTTTTGTGAGTGGGATGTTGATTAAAAAGAAGTCTTTATTCTAGATTCACAATTTTTCTAAAGTCCGATTCATAATTTTTCTAAAGAATGATTTTTATGAGTGGGAAGTTGATTAAAGGAAGTCTTCATTCTAGATTCATAAGTTTTCATAAGATTCATAAGTCCGAGTATGCGAATTTTCAGCGTATTTTTTTCTTTTTTCATATAAAATCTGATGTAAAAAAACATCTCGTAGCGAGTACACAACTTTAATGGCTTTTTCTCTGACCCAATGATAACGACCATATAAATGATGGAATTTGCAATGAAATGGTATCTTGACTCTCAAATGGCTTCCTCTTTAAGTCAATTAAAATGAGATAAAAACGCACGCAGAGCAATAACATGATGGAGTGGTGTCTTTCAAATAGAGTGGAATGAAGTCTTTCAAATAATTACTTTTCCTCTAAGCCAATCAAAACTTGGGGGAATGAGCGCAAAGCAATAATGACAATCAAATTTGCAGTGAAACGGTACCTTGACTTTCAGATAGCTTTTTAAAGCAAGGAAAATACCTGCGCAAACCACTAATTACGATGGAATTTGCAGTGAAGTGGTATCGCTTCCTGTTTTTAGAGAATCAAACAGAATGAGAAAAAAAAAAAAAAACAAACAAAGAAACGCCAACTAATAGCAACGCTGAAATTAGTTAGAAACCTTTTTAAACACACCTAATTTCGACAAGATAACAAGAAGAACATTAGGATGAAAAGATAATTATCTATTTTTGTCTAACTCGTAATCTTCTTTCTTTGATATTTTAGGATGAACTATTAAGACTTTGGGCGAAAAGCAAAGGAAAGGTTGTAAAATAACATTAACATCATTGTTGGCAACGACAGATGGTCGCGATAAGTCCATTAGGCCTAAAACTTTAGAAAGACAAGATAATAGCCAAGAAGGTATATATCAGTGTTGGCTTTTTAGTTTGAACAATGGAGCGATTGCTCTCTGGAGATGAGAACCAAAACGTCATGAAACACCAGAATACCAGGAATATAGTGCATTGTTTGAAAAACTTAGTTTTTCCCTAAGTTATACTGGGTATTATTTGTGTTCTTGATGTGAAAAATAAACTTGAATATATATATATGACCATATGCAAAATGAATTTTCTGTGGTAAATAAGACTGAACCGAAAAATGTTTTAAAACTACTGAGATAACTAAGCCAGATCTTTTATTCAGTATTCAGTGGTCTCAAAATCACCAAGACCAAGAAAATTTGTTTACCGACCCTATAGTCAAAGGTCCATTAAAAACATTTGAGAGCTATTTCTCTTTTCCCTTTTCTCAATAAAAAACCTTAATCGTTGCTCGAATGTGATTTCATTTTTGAAAATGTATACCAATTTTTAAGATTTTAAGATTTTTTTATTCACTTATTAATTTTAATAAATTTCAAAGTTTACTAGCTGAGGGCCAAAACATCAAAACTCAAAAAAATTCCAACTGTAGTAAAGAAATAGTTCGTGACCTTGCTACCTTACCCACATAAAAGGCTTTGACCTCACCCAACACTTTATTTTGCGGCATAAATCTTTGGTCAATATCGGGCTATTTTTATCGTTTTGTTTATCGCGAAACAACCAAAATTTCCGGAATGTATTTCTTCATTTTCTTCTACCTGAAGATCTCGACTCAAAAAACCGGAATCCAAACTGAATTCGAAACAAAAATAAATTTATTGCCTAGTGTTCTGATAAAATCGACCAAAGCCATGATAAAGATTTATTTTCGACCAAATATAAACATGTCTGGTGTTTTTAGGGAGTATCAATTTATAGGAATCTAATTAAATGACATGGGCCTCAAAATATCGTACCAATATCTCTAATTACTTCAAGTTGCCTTGGTAACAAAACTTCCAAAGCTGTATTTTTGTTTAAAATGTTCATTGTTTTTGGAATTGTTTTAGTCTGTAGAACTTTTGTTTCTTTTTTTGTATCAAGTCAGGAAGCTTGGTGAGCAGAGGTTTTGTTCAACGAGAACAGGTGCGACTGCGAATACAAGAAAACTTCTGCAGGATATGAAGAGCTTATATTTTTGGCTGGATTTATAATTAGGGTAACAAAGGGTGGCATAAGCAATTCAGCAAATCGTTTCGTTGTTAATGGGAAAATATTTCTCGTTTTTAAAAGCCGGAAATAAGCCATCACGTATTTTTTTACTCGAAAGTTCAGCGAAGGTTTAAGAAAACGTTTTGGTTTCTATGACAACGGCAGCAAGACGAGTGGTCAAAAGACGGTGTTATACTAATGAATGACAGCTAAAGCGCGAACTTTTTCATCCATTTAGTGTTTGCTTTGTTCTTAAGCAATATCTAATTGGTTTCTAAACGAAGAAGAACCTTTTGTTCTTGACTGACAACAGTTTTATTTTGAATTCTAATTTACCAAACAATCATACCCACCATGGATTTGAGATTACCCATGGGAACCATCCTCTTGCCGACTCAAAGGATTTTTTGTGTTTAAGTCGAATTTGACACTTCGTTTTGAGGCCCTTAACGTGAACTTACGCTGCTGAAAGGTCTTGAACTCTACTGGATAGCATTGATATGTCTTATTAGACGAGGTATGAGTAATCTTGTAAATCATCAGCCGAATTCCATCACTAAGCCCGACGACTAGACTGGTTAGGACTTCAGATCAAGAATATTCATCCGGTTTTCTTCACGACTTAGCGGACCCTGAGCTTTACCAAGTACTAGAGATTTGATTCCCAACGACACAACTAACAGAACTAAAGTTCATTTACTTTACACCACGTAACAGAAAGTACCAAAAGGTTTGGTTTATAGACAAACAAGATGCTGGGTCCAACAGTTTGACCTACGGGAGTCCGGGTTATTAATCGTTAGTTAAAGACGAGGAAAAATTCTTTCAAGGTGCCTTGCTCATCTATAAGAAAAATAGCCATAAAAATAATACTTATGTCAAGAAAGATACAAAACAGATGGAAGACGACACTAGAAGTGAAAATCCTCAAACAAGTCCAAATAAAGCGGACGTGAAAAACGACACCGACGAAGAAGAACAGAAAAACACAGATGAACTTGGTGATTCAGATTCCCCAAACACCGACTCTCCACCTCTTCAAAGGTATTATACTTTGCATGCATGAAAGCTTAGAGAAGGTATCTTCTTTATGGACTTAAAGTTTTGAGAATTCCGAGTTTGTAAAAGCGTAAAATGAAGAATTTGACCTGCTTGAGGTCGTGAGCTGTGTGTATATTGTCAAGTATGTACAACATGAAGATAATGCAATTTTACAATAGTACAAAAAAAATACGACTTTACTAAATTAATTCATCATTATTCACAGCCTGAAGCATTAGGCATATGATTTACTACATTCAAATTAGTAAAAATAACAGTCCATGCTTAATATTCGTTCCTAGTTTAAAGTATAAGGTTAATTAACTTGGTTGTTGTTTGTCATGCATCATCCGTCACAGAGTTTACAGGCTACATATATTTGGATCGCTTTTTAATCCCTCTTATTTATTCAATGTAGTTGTTCGCGTTGGTATCATTTCTAAAACAACATGAAAAGTTTTTAAAACTAATCCCTTCAATACCACAGAATTTTTTTTTTTGAAAAATCGACCACGTCTAACTTGTCATCAAGTACACAGTAACTAATTAGCACCCATCTATTAATTTATTATTTTGGCTGCTATTAGCAAATGTAAATACAATTAAGATTGTTTATTACGTGTGTGTAATTGTTTACCAAACCAAAACAGTTTTCTAGTAAATGAATAGCCGATGATAATTATTTTTGCAAAAAACGGAAATATATTTTTGATTAAAATGAAATGAATTATTCATAATCCATTTCAATTTTTTTATTCATTTATGACAGTTTTTTAAATTTTTTTCAGTAGTCCCAGTGATGCCTCTAAATCATCAAGACCGTCGTCACTCCATTCATCTAGATCTGCGACTGAAAGTGACCTCGACAGTAATCCCACTAGTACTTCTGCTGTAGACAGTATTAAAGTTGTCATAAGGTATGGCCATTTTAATTATGTACAGTGTCTCTATTCATTGGGTTTAAAGTAAAAGTACAAAGTACACTTGAGAACAAGATGTCAATATTAGAGGGTTGGTCATCATGGTGTTGAGGGAGGAATGAGTAGAATGAAGGGGCTGGTACCATGGGTGGTGGGGCTGTGGAAAATTTGGTCCTCTCACTCCATCCTACAAAAAAGAGAAGATTTCCTCACTCACCAGTCACACAGAAAGTGTCCCCATGTATATTTGCGGTGGCTTGGTTTGAGAACCAACTTTAATGTTCAAATGTATATTACAAAAACTTACAGACATTTCAATCATGAAACTGTTTTATAGGGTTCGTCCTCTTAATCCATCAGAGAATGCCAGAAAGGATAAGAATATTGTCAGTTACCCTGGTGATGGAGCAATATGGGTAAGTAATGTTATTCATATCATGTACAGCAATGTAAAATGTAACAATGATAATGTAATCATAAGGAAAAGATGTCTCATTTGGTGGCTTGTAATTTATATACTCTAATTACTGCCAAATTTCTAGTATTATAGCCTTTCATTTTCATACACATTTATCCAGTTTCAACACCATTATCCTTATTGCATAAGCCCCACTCCCTAGATAATGACAGTTTGGAAATCTGGAATTCCAGAAAGCGATCTTTATGTTACTTTTTTAGGGAGGAAGGGGGGATACGGTTTTCTCCATCCCTCCTTATGTAACCACTGTCTCCACAGACTAAAAAATGCAGGTTAACTATAAAATAGTTAATTTGGAATATTTGTGTAGACCATGTCATGGAAATGCCACCTCCGTACCACTCTATGTCTCCCTCCCCCCCCCCAATATAGTGTGTTTCTGTGACTGTCCAATTCATATTCTCAAACAAAGACATGTTCTCACTTGTTAATTCTTTTTTAAAGATTGACAACAACTTTGGACAAGTAAAACCATTTACCTTCAATGCAGTCTTTGATGGAGCTACATCACAAGCTGAAATGTTCGAACAATGTGGAATCAAAAATCTCATCAATATGGCCCTTGAAGGGTGTGTAAATACATGCCAACTAGTGATAGACTGGAGATATTTTTTAAATATATTATAGTTTTCTATAATTTTCCTGGAACACTATAATGATCTCTCTACCAAAATATATCAAACCTCAAAGTCCGAGTCTCTTGAGATATTCTGTTACCATGGCAACACTCTAATATCATACTTCTACCATAGGTACTCTTGTACTGCATTTGCATTTGGTCAGACTGGATCTGGAAAAACCTATACCATAACTGGTCCCTTAAATACAGTAAGTTTATTCAATCGCTGAGAACATAAAACTGATTAAATATCATTGTCTCTGCATATTGAATATATGATTTGTTTCCTTGATGTTTTAGGATGGTACTAGCTATCAGGATGAAGTGTTACCAAGTCCAGAAATGTTAGGATTGTTAGAGAGGTATGCTCCTAAACTATAACATTCTCATGAAATAGTGGTCATAAATCTCACTTTCTGATTGGTTGGGACGCATGCTTTTATTATGAGGGCACAATTAACTCTTTGACATTTTCTATTTCACACTATTTTTATCCAAAGTAATAGTATAATTATATTAGTAATATATAATAATTATTATAGATACAAGGGGGGTTGCAGGACATAATAATAATAATAATAATAATATTTATTTATACACGATAAGTTATATACAGCGTAGCTGATGTGGTCGTGTTCTAATCCTAGGTCCTAAGCTATACTAGTCCTCTCACTCTCACCCACACACATTCTCTCTCTCTCTCTCTCATTCTCTCGATCTTATCTACTACTAAGCTAATTATTACATAATTTAATATTTTGACTGGAAAGAGTTATTACATCTTTAGTTGAGATATGTCCTTTTTAAGTTTTTGTTTGAAAATAACGGGGCAACTTGATTCTCTGGTATTGTTGTTGAGCGCGTTCCACAGTTTTGCTAGGAGAACACAAAATATAACAGACTGTGTCACTGTACTTCTCAGCATTCTCTCACTGGACTCTGAAGATGACTTCCGCTCAAGTTTTCAAAACGTCAGTCACCACCAACAACAGTCTTTCTCGAGACTACACTCACCCAGAAGATCACATTTCACACCAAATACTTGACCGTTCTGCCAACTCCCACATGCTTTATGAGTAACTGCACACAGCTTACTAGTCCAGAGGCTGTACCCTCTCCTTTGCCGCTCCGCTTTTTAAGTTTTTGGGCTACACACAGGGATCCCAAAAACAAAAGTGGAGCGGCAAAGGAGAGGCTAGCAGCTTACGTGCAAGTTTTCTATTTCTTCATTAATGCATGTCATTGAGTGATTAGTTGTTCTTGATTGTATCCATCTACCCCTCCCATATTAGCTGAATGCTGATCTTGCACATTTAGTGATCAATGGAATTCAAGGGCTTTGCAGATGCTTCTTTCATTGTTTGGGTTTAATATTGCTAGTTTGTGTATTGGTTATTAGTTTGATAGTTGATTGATTAGTTTCTTGTTTATTTGTCAGGTCATTCCAATACTTGTTTGACGCCATGGACAAGAAAGCTGATCTTGTTAATTACACTCTTAGGGCTTCATATTTGGAAGTATACAATGAAAGGGTAATTAACTAAAAATGAACAAAAGGAATTGGGAGATATAAAATATATTAGCAAATATTTAAAAAAAATATGAACCATAGAGTCATGAGGTAACATTTTCAAATAAATTGGTGTGGTGGTTCACATATTGTTCCAACTACCAGCAAATTCAATTTTTAGATGTGCTTCTCATTGAAAAGCGTAGAGTTATTAAAATGACACCCTGATAGCTGTGCAGTCTATAAATTTTCCAATAGTTGCCCCTTCGCAGTGGCGGATCTAGGGGTGGTTTTGGGGGTTGCAACCCCCCCCCAATGAGAGCCATCGTGATTTATTACTGTTATTATTATTTTCATGACAACGCCAACAGCATCACAAGTTTTATTAAAACAGGGGTGCCGAACACATTTCACTCGCTTTTTGTTCTATACGCCGTGTGTGCAACCTGAAACAACCATGCTCGCCTGCAGCAAATAATCATTATCATAAGACCTACTTCCGTTTGGGAACCCTGTGCTACTTTCCCACCAAACAAGTACCTCAATCAATGCTTCAACCCCCCCTTTGAAAAAATCCTGGATCCGCCCCTGCTTCGGCATCTCATAATGTCTTAATTAAAACAGTAGAATTCAAAAATGGCTGCCATATCAGTAAAAGGTCTATTTTTTGGCCATTGTTATGTATAACATTTCAACTTCGTATCGTAGGTGAAGGATCTACTAAACCCATCTAGTGCTCATGATTCTCTTCCTGTAAGATGGGCACGTGACAGGGGATTTTATGTTGAGAACTTGTTTTATGTTGAATGTGATGCCTTGGATGATCTTACTGCTGTTCTTGAAGAAGGTATGAAATACATACATCTTGGAGTTAGAGCTGATTAACATAAAATTCCAAAAAAAATATAGGGCTTCAGGGGGGGAGGTGTCAGTAAAAAGTTTAACTTTTGAAAAACGTTATTTGATTTGATTTGTTTGGTGAACCTATATCAAAGACTTGTGCTTCATGTTTCATTAGGGGTTCCTATCCCTATCCAGACAGCAGCATCCCAATCCCTTTTCTGCTGCTATGCAGGCTATTTGTCTGTCTTGTCTGTATTTCATAAAATGTGTAATCTCTGTATATCTTATCAATTTCCAGGTCTAAAGTACAGACAAGTTGGTTCTCATAACATGAATGATCATTCTAGTAGAAGCCATAGCATGTTGACTGTCTACATAGATATAGAAATGGTGAGACAAGCTTACTATCATCAGCCATCCTCACCATCATCATCATCATCAACCATCATCATCATCATATCTATCACCATCAAAATCATCCATCATCATCATTACCATCATCAGCCGTCATAAACATCACTATCACTATCATCATCATCAACATCACCATCAAAATCATCCATCATCATCATCACCATCATCAGCCATCATAAACATCACTATCACCATCATCAGCCATCATCATCATCACCATCATCAGCCATCATCATCATCATAATCATCACCATCATCAGCCATCATCATCATCACCATCATNCCATCATCATCATCATAATCATCACCATCATCAGCCATCATCATCATCACCATCATCAGCCATCATCATCATCATAATCATCACCATCATCAGCCTTCATCATCATAATCATCACCATCATCAGCCATCATCATCATCATAATCATCACCATCATCAGCCTACATCATCATCATCATCACGCTGTTGTTGCCTATTTTACTCTTAATAACTTTTTCGATCTCACAAAGTGCACCTTCCTTAATTATTCCTTCACTAGGCGATTTTTCATTAAGCGTTTCCAAGATACCACCCCTTGTACTGTAACCATCCATATATATATACACTTGATGCTGATTATTATATTAGTGAGGGGATCGATTCTGAGCATTTTCATTGGCTGAGTAGTGATCCCGCGCGCTATATTCTATGTCACTACTATGGACAAAGTAATCTTTAGTAAGCTTAGTATAACTAACTCTTGTTTAATTAAAACAATCTTCTAAGTTCTTCTAATTTCATTAAATCCTTGACGATGGGCCAAGTGGCCCGAAAGCATGGATATTTAAAAAATATCAAAATGTACGTAGAAGAAACGTTTCAATTTTTGATAATTTTCTAAGTTCTTCAACACACAGATTACTTGCGTTCTTTTCTTTCCTATTCATATCAATTATGATTGTCTTTGAAATTCCTTTTACGGTTATAGTATACTGCCAACGCTTTGGTGGGACCCCCATTACCTTATAACAGACGCTAATCCAATTGCTTTTAAATGGTTAGGTCGATCCAAATGATGAATCTGGATTCCCGGTACTCCGACATGGAAAAATAAGCTTTGTAGATTTAGCAGGTATGAAAGGTCTTAAAATTCATGATGTCCCACACCAGCTCAAACAAATTAGCTAGAATGTCTCAGAATATAAAACTCTGATCGCGAAAAATTGATTAAAATATTGTTTCAATTGTTTACTGTCCTGCGAAAAGAATAGAAAATTGCCTCTTAATCCTCGTAGTTTTCTTGAAAACAGATACTGTGTAGTTGTTTGTGGGGCAAGATTTTAATAGACCTATCCCGAATTCGCTTGACTGGACACGAATCAATGGTTTCAAGTCGAGGTTGAACTTGATGAATAAAAGAATCAGGTTCAATTTGACTTCAAACCATTGTTTCGTGGTCTTCCAAGCGAATAGAGTCAAGCCATACAAAACTCACGCGCGCATCTTGGTGCTTTGACATATAAACATTCTTGGAGTTATACAGCGCTAGAGAAACGAGCTTTGATTTAAAAAAAACAAAAAACAAAACGCATCGCTGGCAACGCATTGAGACAATGTTAAGAAACTCCCCAATGTTATTATCATCAATTATATATATAGAGAGGGTGTGGAGAATGTATCGGAGATGGTAAAATTTCTTTAAGATGAAATAAATTTCTCCCATACACATTCTCTATGTACGATCTCGTAACTATAGCTTGGGCTACCTGTGAATCAATGCGCGCATTGCACTCAAATTTATATAAAATACATTAGATAATGTAAGTTATTGCTTACTATCAATCACGTGACTTTTTAAAGTTGACTGGGGGGCAAACAAGCGGTTGACTGGGGGGCAACTAGCGGAAGTTAAGCCAAAACATGTCAAAATAAGTCCTCAAACTATTGTATTTGACTGTTTCTACGACATGAAACCAGAAATCAAAACAATCTTCAAGATTCTATTTGGGGTGCTACAACATGACACAAAATCCCTCCAGATATAAACAACAATGAAACAGTCGCCATGTTGGTTGATCTAACAAGAGAAGCTAATGAGGAATGCTTTGTTATTTATCGTCAACAAACATGGCGACTATGACGTAACATGCACTGCAAGAATTGATCTAGCAGGATTTCTCTTACGAGAAAATATTGATTCCTGTTCGACGCCAAATCAAGTTGGAATTTAAACTCTGATATAAATTAGTGTTTTTCTTTGTTTAGGGAGTGAGAGAGTCAAGGAAACAAAATCACACGGTGAATCGTTTGCTGAATCGCAAAACATCAACAAGAGCCTATTAACACTAGGTAATAATTATTATTCTGATTCGTATAAAGGCCTACTTACGCGGTACGATTATTCATCACGAATGTCGCGCGCAGCATTGCCTAGTTTCAAATCGTGGGAGGACTGGGTCTAAAGCGGAAAATCGTGAAAGCTATGCCATGGATATCTCCGTCTTAAAGTGATTTTTGTTCATTCGGAAAACCGGCAATGCTGACAATTGCTTCGTGTAAATCGACCGTACGACTTGCTTACGACTGTAAATGGTAGCTTAAACTTGGCGTAAGGATGTTGCGCGCGAAATTAAGTTGTTATGTTAATCGACCTTAGTACATAGCCGTAGATTTCGTATGACTGTGAAAAGCTCGCGACACGAACACGGTCATGACACGGCAGGGCATACGCCAGACCAGTCACATTGCACGGCAATTTACTCTCCATCCAATCAAATATCAAAAACACGGCACAAACACGGCGCAGACACGGTCACGCAAGGTCACGGAACTGCCAGACCAATCACATTGCGCGAGAAAAAAATCAGCCAATCAGAATTCGAGAAAACATCACGCTTGCTGCTAGACATGGATACAGTACTGAGCTTCTCACAGTCATACGAAAAGTGGTYTATACATATATGTGTGGAGGAGCGATATTAACCAGAGTAACCAAAGTAGGAGGTAGCTAAGGTAGTAAGGCTAGGTAGGTTAAGGCAAGGGGGTAATTCAGTAGTACTTGGTAATGAATCATAATAATGTCTAATATTTCATTATTTCATTTTGTTTAAGGAAATTGTATATCAGCCTTGAGTGACGCTAAGAAACGTTCTGGTCATATACCATACAGAGATAGTAAACTAACTAAACTACTGGCTGATAGCTTAGGGGGGAATGGAGTAACACTGATGGTGAGTAAACCCTATGGTCATATACCATACGGAGATAGTAAACTAACTAAATTACTGGCTAAGGGCTTGAATTAACAAAATTCACCCCCGCCAGTAAATTCATATGAATCCAGCCTCAGAAATATATTTTTGAGAAATCGTGATGTCCTTTTCCTACATACAAGGTGCGTGGTGCTCCAAATCCATGCTTTACCAAAATATTTTCTCCTAATTCCTATTATACCTATCCCTCTACGAATATCCTTGATCGAAGAAGGCCTCTTAAGAGTGCGAACTATTATCATTTGTTTTGTCTTTGCCCAGATTGCTTGCATCTCTCCTTCGTCATACCTGATTTCTGACACCTTGAATACCTTACGATATGCTCACAGAGCAAAGAAGATCAAAAATAAACCTGTGGTACAAATGGTATGTATGAGAATCTGTTTTGCATGTGACGTCAGCAGCTCAACACAAGAAAATCAATCTCCTAAAAATTGAAAACCTATTGTTATGTCCCCCAAATTGAGCTGCATTCCGACGTGCTGCAAGGGGTCTAGTCTTTGAGTGCAGCCACGTGACCGAAAAAATTAACAATAAATAACAATAAAACAGCCGCCATGTTGTTTGATCTAACAAGAGAAGCTAATGAATGCTTTGTTATCGAGAACCATTGCGGCAATGACGTAACAACGACCTCAAGAATAACCTGTGACGTCACTCGTACGAAGAAAGATTCCCGGGTCCATAAACACGACGTTGGAAATGTAGAAAAAATAGACCGGTTCTGATAGACCTTTTTAATGCTTTTTATTTTTAAACTACGTGTCTTTCCCTAGAGTATTATTTTTTTGTTTAATGGTTGCGCATGAGAAGAAACACGAATATGGATACAGAATTGCATGTGATTTGAAATGAGCTAAAAAGGTCTGTTTTAGGCCCCGCCCACACGTATCCGGAAATTTTTGAAAACTGTCTCTAGAGTGGAAATTTTCGAATACGCTCCGAATACGGATACGTGTGGACGGTCGTATCCGCAAATTTTCGAATACGATGACGTAAACACGATTTTGCTCATGCTCAATAAGAAAAACTATCCGCCAAAGGGACTAGGCACTAGCGTGCATCAGGGCGGATCAAGAAATTTCCGGATACGTGTGGACAGTGAAAACGATTCGAAAACGATTCGAATACGATGCGTGTGGACGCAAACATTTTCGTATCCGCAATAGAAAATTTGCGGATACAAAAATTTACGGATAAGTGTGGACGGGGCCTTAGAGCTACTAGCTTCTAGAGTGTCTAGAGAGACACTCATAATATCCAGGTTTCAAATGTTTTTCTAACGTCTTGGTATCTTTCCTCAGGATCCCAAGGAAAAGCTAATAATAAGTCTGAAGAGAGAAATAAAATTGTTACGAACCGAAAACAATTATTTTCGACAACAGGTAAAACAATGTTAACCGTAAACTTCATACACACGGCCCTGAAGAGTTAACCACAGTTACAAAATTCCAGTTTCAGTGATTACGTTTGTAGAAATCCTATATAGGCAATCCTATTTCCCCGCATTACCAGTGACCTTATTCCCAGTCTTCCCAGTGCGTCAATTCACATTTTTTATTGCGCAAGTATTTTACCTCATGAAGGCTTTCTCAAGGTTCACCGTCCAGTGAGTTAACCGGCATCTCAGTTTAACGAGCGTAACTTGGGGCAAATCAGGTCCAAGTATGTTTAATGATAATCTTTTTGTAACAACCCATGATGTACGCAATTGTTTTTGTTTGCTCCATATTTCTTTTCCGAAAGGTGAGGTTGCGCAATATTTTCTTCGTAGGTAAAGTGCTTGCTCGTATTTTTTGTTTTTTKGGGGGGGGAGGGGGTGGATTTTCGCAGTTATCTCAATTGTCTATGGGTCCATCCTGAATAAGTCTAAAACAATCTGTTTTCGTTTCTGTTGATATTTCAGCTAGGGCTACCAAGTAGTGATTCACAGACAACTGTAACATCTGATACTGATCAAAATGGCAATAAAATAGACAATAACAATTCGAGTTCCAAACAGCCTTCTATAAAGAGTAAGTTCAAGAGCCATTCCCCGTCTATACCAAAGCCTCGACGTTCCTACATTTCGGCAAAAATAAGAAAATATCATTTCATAACTTTTCTCATTTTTGCCGAAAGGTAGGAACGTCGAGGCTACTTCAAAATGTTATAATGGAATCTACAGATCCTTTTGAACACTGATCCCCCCCCCCCCCCCCCCCCCCCCCCCCCCCTAGAGCTTCGGTATCATGTTTCAATATCTAAAGTTCTGAAACAATAATAATAAATCATCTTTATTGAGGATACCAACATCACAAGCAGTGGTTTACAGAAAGGTCCTCAAAACCCTTCCTTTTGACTTGTGATTAATGCATATTTATGTACCTTTTTTTTCCAGAAAAGACGAACAGTTTACTTGTGAAGGATGACGAGAGAAATAAGCTTACTACAGCAAAGTAAGTGGGGATACATAAGCATAATTTATGGTTCTAAATACGATCGTTTTCCAGCAATTAACTCGAACAAAGGTTTACTTTCCATTCTTTGTCCGTTTGTCGTAGTTTAACTGCTGGAGCCAATAGTGGTTTATACGATATGTTACAAGAATACATGATAGAAAATGAACATTTGAGGTATGTAATTGGTATCTAAAAGATATTTGAAAAGGGAAAGTGACATTTCACTTTACTATTAACGGACTTTCAATCCAGGCAAAACAAAACAGCAGGTTAAAAATTTGATCATAGTAACACTTTTTAAAAAACTTCGAAACTGGGAGAATTCAACGAAGAGATCGGAGCTCTTCATGATACATCCGTACAAAACACTCCCTTTTGAAACTCTGAACGTGATATAATTATGTTTGTTTTACCTTGTTTTTTTTCCCAAGAAGTGAGAAAAGTTATGGTACTAGCTTGAAGAAAGTACAGTATGGGATACCTAGTCTCCTGCACTACTCATCCCCTCTCCTCAGCCCCGCCACCTAAAACTGACAAAACCTTTATTTAATTTGACTTTGGTATTTGTTACCATCTTTATTGGTCTGGGTTAGATTATTCGTATTCTTAGCAGAACTTGTTGAATTTATATTTATACCATATTTTGTAATTGTGCATTTTTTTGTCAAAGGTCTGAAAATGGTGATCTTCACAAGTCACGTGATGAGATCTCAAGACAAAGAGCGGTAAGCAATATTCATGCGTATTTATGAGAGGGGTCATTGCCTTCTTACCTCAACAAATTATATCTTACTCCATCCCCATCCATCCCCCAAAACTCCCAATGGGAAGGGAGTGACAGGCATCATGGGACCCTCTGTGTAATGTATTTTACTGATAGGTTCGCTGCAATTACATTTTTACCGAGGAAATATTCATTATATGAAACTGCCAATGAGAAGGGGGGTGAAAGGCATCCTGGGACCCCCTGGGTCATACCCCTCCTGAACTCCAAACATATATTTGAATGATAAGTTTGCTACAATCAAGTTTGTTACCAAGAAAGTATTCATGATATGGATAACATCAAAACATACTGATAAAGTGCTATCCGATCTTCATATTCAAGATTGTCTCAAGAGAAAATGAAAGATTACTGAAGAAACTTGAAGATCTTGAGAGGTATTAAAACTGAATTACAGACCGGTTTTTTTGTGGTTTTGTTATTCATTTGCTGTTCTATTCTTTCAGAGTCTTCCTGTCAGTCGCGACAATAGAAGAAAAAAATACTATCAGATCGATTTACTTCCTAGTTTTGATATTCATGTGCTGTCCTATTCTTTCAGGGTCTTCGTGTCATCTCCTGTTTCATTTAGATCGTTGTCGGGTGTCGAACGATCCCGGTCACTACCCGAGGGTGGAAAATCGACCTTTGATTATAAAGCTGTCGGATATGACGTCGGGTATCGAAGCTCGTCGAATCCTGGTAGGAATATTAGAGTTTTGATGCGATATGATACTGTGAGCTCTCTAATGTTATAGACCAGTCGGTCATGACCTGATATATATGAGAGCTCTCTTTCTGTTATATTGAACCTTGAGATATATGTAGCTAGAAGAGACGTCAGATAAGGCTGCAAAAGACACAGTAAGGATAGTGCAGTTTTCGTATGACTGTGAAAAGTTCACGGCACGAACACGGTCGTGACACAGCAAGGGATACGCCAGATCAATCACATTGCACGAGAATTTACTCTCCATCCAATCAAATACCCGGAACACGGCATGAACACGGCGCGGACAGGGTCACGCCAAGATCACGGCACTTTTAGACCAATCATATTGCGCGTGAAAAAAATCAGCCAATTAAAATTCTAGAAAGTATCACGGTCACGGCACGTCACGCTTACGGCACTGAGCTTTTCACAGTCATACGAAAACTGCTAATGCCTTGTGCCGTGCCGTGGCTTGGCTTTGACCATGCCGTGACCAAATATAATTAGATAAACCATCCACAGTAATTCACGCAACGAATGTATTYCATACTGCGACTTACTGCTACTTTTACCCGGCTTACTCCGTTTCTTTCTTCCTTGGAAAATGAAATTTCCTCTGTTCTAATCCTCTCTGTTTTTCATTCCTTTAGACTACTATCAGCTGAAGCACAGGTCTTCTTCAGAGCCCACCAATTTATCTTTCCCGCCTATCAACGATGGACCATATCCAAACTATGTACACCATGGATCATTGGGCTCAGTATCTGATGATAGTAGTAATCAAGCAGATCGTAAACCCATGAGTAAATCGAGCCCTGCTAAACTGTAAGTGGACAAGCTTATAGACACCTCGCATGCGACGTCAAAGCGGCTCAATTTTGGAGGATTTATAAAACAAAAGAATTTCAATCTCCTGTGAATTGGAAACTATTGTTATGTCCTCCAAGTTGAGCTGCATTCCGTCGTGCTGCAAGGAGTCTATTGTATGATAACGGTTCTAGGAACATAATCCTCCTGTCATGGCCCACATTATTATTATGGCTCATCAGCGCATCCTCAGAAACCATACCTTTTAAAAGTGTACGACGCATCAGCAGCGTTCCCTGAGGAATAGCTATATTAGCAATATCGCATGACACATTCTTCATGCAGTTAACAAACCCCTACCTTCACCCTGACAAAGCCTTGTAAACATTCTAAAATGGCGGATAAAATGACATTGTGCTCTCCAGCTATCAGACCATAATATTTTTTCGTTTGCATGTTATGTCTTCGCGGCCATGTTGGTGCCATTTATCTTTAACCCCACCAAGATGATCGGCATGTTTTTATCATTTGACTGTCTTTGGAATGCTTGCAACTCATTATATTATCATTCTCTGGTTGTCATTTCTTTCAGGCGCAAACAACCTCTGACACCAGAAAAATTCCAAGGGGGCTACGCTCAAATATTCGCGAAACATCGAGGAAAGAAAATCAAAGAAAAACAATCTAACAAAGGCGCCACGCAGTCAACGAGCAAACCCATCAAGGCTTTTACTACGCATGGGCAACTAAACACGACAACAAGCAACACCTCGTACAGTCAGAACTCTTACAAACAAAACAACTCATCGTCATATCCATACGATACATCTAGTTATTCGAGACAGTTATATGGTTATAATGGACAGCATATTCAAAGAAATGTTCCTGAAAGAAGCTATCAGCCACAAAGTCAATACTCAAAAGGTATGTGGACAGTGAGATATAGATAGAAAACAGTGCACATTAAGGCCCCGTCCGCACGTATCCGGAAATTTTTGTATCCGCAAATAATTTTTTGCGACTACGAAAATGTTTGCGTCCACACGCAGCGTATTCGAATCGTTTTCACCGTCCACACGTATCCGTTTTCGTAACATTTGCGGATACGGACACAAAAATTTGCGGACACGTGTGGACGCAACCCGTATCCGTTAAAAAAAAAATTGCAGATACAAAAATTTGCGGATACGTGTGGACGGGGCCTAACCCTTTGACAAGACTTTAATTTAGTACTTATTCTACACGAAATAAATAGTTAAATTGTAAGACATTTCTTGATTTAAGTGACGCATCTTTAAGATTTGAAGGTTTATACTTTCAATGTGTTATTGACTGTGACGTCTATAAAGGTGTGATGTGAGTGTTGTGACCCGTAATACTAAATGCAGGCCATTATGGAAAACAAATTTAAAATTACCTTTAGGTAAACCATGAGTAAAATAATGATGCTCTTTAAATACTGTTTGTGTGAACCAGTTCAATAATATATATTTAATGAAGTCTTGATAGACGTCACAGTCATTTAAAAAATATATATTGGAAGTACAAACCAACAAATCCGGTCATATTATTAAGGGAAGAAAACTTTCTTTAGCTTTCAGTTCTACTCAACCGAGCTATCAACTTCAGCAAGACCTGGGAAATATCGATTCTCAAATACAGTACTATAGTTATATGAATAAAGGAACGTCCTTTGATAGAAGCCCAAATAGATGACAACAACCATACAGCGCACCATGATCGCCACCGACAGAAATAGACGTGCATACTTCACCGACTGCCGAAGAAAGGTCGGCCAGCGATTGGAGACCATAACAGACAAAACGTTGTGTTTTGCCTTAGGATTATCATATTAGAAAATCCACGCCAAAAAAAAAAAAAAGAACGAACGAAATTATCATATCATAGTGCCAATCGCAGGTCGATTGACCGAGCCAGGAATAATGCCGGATCAAACATACCCCGTAATGACAGGTGGAGGTAGAAACCGTCTCGATTGGACAACACTACTCGTCCCCAGGCTACCCAGTGGCATGACCTCTTGCCGAACAGCAAAGAGAGTAGCCTGAGTACGCTTCAATCCTATTCAGGAAACATCCATAAAAGAAGAAAATGAATAGAAGACTTAAGGCAGCGTTTCCTTGTTCCCTAGGGTTACATAATTACGTCATGTCTGACGTTTAGAGTCGAGACGTTTATTAGTATTCCTCCAAAATGGCGCCCACCATTCTATCAGGAATGCGGACTCTTAAGGCCGGTTTAGACTTAAGGCCGGTTTAGACTTAAGGCCGGTTTAGACGCTAACGTCTGTCGTAGGCTAGTTGCATAGGCTTGATTAACACGCTACGACTCGAGTTGTAGGATGGCACGAGCGTGTTGTATTGATGGTTTTCACGGCGGCCATGTTGGAGGAACTTAACAAAAGAATTGTCAACGAATTCTTTTGTTATATCCTCCAACATGGCCGCCGTGTCTTTTGTTATTTAATTCTCTTGGGAATGGTTGAAAACCATCAATACGATAGTTGTAGGCGAAAATGGTACCGTCTAAACCGGCCTTTACGCAGTCTTACTTCTCTCGCTCGCGCCTAGCCTGTGGTTGATACGAAGGATTTAGTAAGTTTGCGGGGTATCAAGGGAGGGATGAGGGAAAAAAACGCTTTTGCGCGCGTTTATCGCTTAACCACCCATATTCCATATTCTGGGTACGTTGTCAAAGCCAGTCACGAAACGAATCAATTATTTATAGAAATTATTTATTGCCAAACTACCTAAAGAGGAAAAATGGTTTTATCTGAATGGAATGATACATTTTTTAATGAATAATATTGTAAAGAATGATGACATTTATCTTTGCTTAAAATGCTGTATTAAATTGCCATACAATCACACATCTCTTTTACTCAGAATTAACATTTAACATGATATCCGTATAGAACCAAAAAGATAAATATAGCAAGCAGTTTATTCTTTTTGACGAAAAAAAATAATCTCGTGATGGTGCAAAGCCTCTATAAACGTGGTAAAAGCTAAACAAACAATACAACAAAACTGAAACAGTGCGCATTATTTTTATTTATTGCTGAAATATTGTCATAAATATTAACTAGTCATATATAAATATTTATTATTTTTAAATAGAGTGCTCTAAAAAGCACTATATAGTGAGTACTTTTTCTTGGCACATTGAGTGAAAATTAAAGGATGGCGTTTACAGACAAACTGATAAATGCCATAAAATTTAACCGGCAAATAAGCCAAGTTTTAACTGATATACACCTATTTCAAAAAACGTTGTCGGTTGGATATCTGAAATCAGAAATCTGAGACCGATTGGAATTGTGGGGACTGCGTGTTTTCTCGTTCACAATTCAATATACTCCTACCCAGATAGTTTACCAGCGCAGGTCATCGCTCAAAGTTAGTATATCAAGGTATTAACTTTTTGCGAACTACTTATTAAAACCACAAACAATTTACAGCTTACAACCCACAATTTCTTTCGGTCTCAGATTTCAGATCTTCGACCGACAACGTTTTTTGAAATAGGTGTATATCTGGACCATGCTTGCTTCGGCAACTCAATGTATTCTGTGCAAGGTCAACCTTATTTTAGAATTTCTTTGTGCACGGCCGGGAAACAACTGGGGCGAGACTGAGTTGAAAGCCATGGTGAAGGCCACGTAAACATGAGGTAAACATGCGAGTTGAGTGTCGTATGTTGTGAATATAGAATGTAGTGCTAGTGCGTGTGGAGGGAACCTTACGGAAGAGCCCCGTACGTGTGGAGTGGTGGTTGTAAAATATACAAGTTTATGTTTCTATTGCTAAAAGCTCTCGCTTGTTTTTTTTTGCTTGGCTTGTCCCTAAGGTCTCTGATAAGGTAGGGTAGTTCCCCTGTGTCCCTAGTACTAGGGTCACCCTACCTTAACTGACGGGGACTGGGGACTACGTTAAAACTAATGGTCGGTCATCGTTCTCACAGCAACAGAGAAGTCTTGCTAGATATCCTATCAATAACAAGATATAGAATTGGTATCGTAAGTAGCATTATCATTTCTTAGCAAATCTACGAATAAAACGGGTAAGATGTATTGTAGCTTTGCACCATTACGTGATGGCAGCCATAACAGGAGGCACAATAGAGTCTTTTTCCCTTTGAAAATGAATTTTTTGTCATGTAAATCAGAAGTAGTATAGGGGATGGGGGTTCCAGCGCAACGACCACCGGAGGATTACCCGTCTAAAGTGAATTC